CACGTGAATAAAAATATGGAAAAGATATTTTTTCCCTCTAGTGAAAGATCAATTTTTATTTCAAAAAAAAATTTTATTAGCAAAAAAATACATAATAATTACTTTATATTTTTAAAGTGATTGCTTCATTATTAAGAAAATAAACTTTTTTCTATTATTATGTGCGTCATTCCCATAATATTATAGGAACCATTCCCATAATATATTGAAGCTATTCCATTATTGTATAGGAACGTTTCCCATAAATTATGGGTATGGTTCCCATAATGAGTATAGGATTAATGCCTATAATGATAATTTTATTATAGGATCCATTCCCATAATTGTTGGAAAGATTCCTATAAATTTCTCTCCGTGTAGAAAATTGAGCGCGCTTCGCGCACTTCTGCCAAGGTGTTTATTATCTACAAACTACTTAATTGATCAATATTTTTACAAATTTTATCCATTGATATTTGACGGTTGCCACGGTAAACGTTGCCAAATTGGTTACCATAGCAACGAAAAGCGACAACAATGATAACGTCGCATAAACTTTTCAATAAAGGATTTCATACATATGATATTCCGCATATATATGAAATATATAGAAAATTCGTGTGGGTATTCAAATAAAAGGTCTCGATGAGAATAACATCAGGATGAGCTTAAATCTTAATAAATGTCAATAATTAATAACGGGCGTTGTATTTTGACTACCGATGATATTTTTAACGATTATAAGCTCATCCTAATGTTACGCTCATCGAGACCTTTCATTTAAATACCCACACAAATTTTTTATATATTTCACAAATATGAGAAATATCATATATATACAAAATATATAGGAAAATTACTGTGGGCATTCAAATAAAAGGTCTCGATAAGTGTAACTCCAGGATGAGCTTATAACGTTAAAAATATCATCAGTGGACAAAATACAACGTCATTTCTTAATTATTGACACATTTTAAGATATAAGCTCATCTTGATGTTACGTTCATCAAGATCTTTCATTTAAGTACGCACACGATTTTTTTCATTCATTTTATAAATATGATATTTCTTATATTTGTGAAATATATAAAATACAGTGCAACCTTGATGTAACGGAACTCAAGGGAAATAAAAATTTTTCGTTTTATCGAGTTATTCGTAATAATGAGGTTTGTTTTAAGAAGTTAAGAACTCATTTAAATCAAAACACAGAATTATTTATTTGAAAATATTTAAATCAGTTTATGGTCAAAATAGACATAGAATGAATAAAATAGACAATTTTAATCTTTTACAATTTACACGCAACCCAGTTTCTTCGGAAAATATTTCTTTAGACTTCAAAATTGTAGCCAGTGTACTAATGGGAATTTCAAACTTCTTTGCTATATCGATTTTCTTCATTACAGGATTCTCGTTTACGTACTTAATGATTTGCCGTTTTTTTGCAATACTCAAAGAACACCTTTTCCGTTTTTCAGCCATTGCAACTTTAAATACTACTAGCAATTACAAACAGCAGTGTTTACAGTGATCAAAAAGCTATGACTGACTTATGAAGAATTAAACGTGTCAGCACTCGTTAAGACATTAGTTATTGTGGAATTAAGTGGAGATAATTTGTAGAATACGTTATGTAGAGGTTATTAGCTGGAAAATTCGTTATATAAAGGTCAATAATAGTTTCTATCTATATTTTGCAATGATTGAACTTTCGTTATAGTGAGGTTGTTTGAAAAATATATTCGTAATATAAAGGTATATTTTACATAGACTTTTATGGGCAGTTCTAGAGGATTTTGAAAAATTCGTTAAATCGAGGAATTCGTTATATTGAGGTTGCACTGTATATAAAAAATTCGTGTGGGTATTCAAATAAAAGGTCTCGATAAGTGTAACTCCCGGATGAGCTTATATCGTTAAAAATTTTCTATTATCTCTTATCATTTTTCCAAAATTTTAATTTAAAAACATTAAAAATAGAAAATTTCTTTACCCTACTCTGGCCATGATAACAATTATAATTTTTTTTTTGTTTTAATAATAATAATATAATTACCTAGTGGAGGAACCTGCTACCGCGGGGATACCGTGAGCTGCTGTAGGAGACGTGGGGGAGCCTGACGGGTTTTTTTGGTCGTCATCAGAAGATTCGAATGAAGTTTGCCCGGCATGTCTGAGCGGTAATCCCAGTGAAAGTCTTCGCGAGGCAGCACTTGCGCTAAAATAAAAAATAAAAAAAAATTAATCATTTAGAGTAAATGCACCAGTTGTTGACCGGTCACCAATTAGTTGACCGATGTATAAAAAAGTTAATTAATTAATATTTTACAAGGGTTTTTTTTTCTTAAAGTATTAAAATAAAAAAATATGGCATTTAATCATCATAATAAAAAATTACGCAATTAATTGCGCAGTGATTATAGCTTTAAAAAAATATTCTGAGTTTGTTTACAACGCAACCAGCCATAAAGCGGTCAAAAATTACGACCGTACAATTGGAGAGTGAGTGCATTTCATTATTAATTTAGTGATATTTATCGGCATAATATAAAATATTTTAGTTTTATTATGTTAATTAAAGATCAGATTCCAACTTTTTTGAAAAAATAAAGTTAAATTATAAGTTTTAATATTATTTTAAGACCGGTCAAC